ACATGTCTCTTTTTCGACTTGGCTTCGGTTAAGACCTATTCTAGTTTGTGGACAATATCCTCGACCCTCATTGACGGTTGACGATATATAACAGTTACAGCCGTTGCCGTTTTATCACTTGCTACAACCTCTATTTTTAAAATTTCTCCTGCAGACACCTCCACTAACTGACTGGTATTAAGCTCCGTTCGTATATATAAACCTACTCCACCTCCTCTGCTCAGCCGAGGGCTCGAGAAAAACTTGTATCCTTGCAAATTGAACAACTCGGCTGAATCATTAGGGTTCAGCCAAGTTTCAGTGACAGCGATAACAGATGGGGCTATTGCAAGTTGCTCAAGACTTACTTTAAAGGCTTCAAAATTAGATTTAAGTGATCGCACGTTAACATTTAGTAATGAAACAGCCTCAAGAACTTGGGTAAATGACGATGGGGACATAAAACGAAATAAAATAAAAATGAGATTGAATAAAAGTCCCTACTGAGGCTGTCTTGTCTTAAATACTTAACCACTGTCTTCTACAGTAAACACACTTGAAGTATTGCTAACATTAGAATGAAGCTCAGTTTGAGGAGATTGTTTTGCTAAGTTATCAACATACTGCTCAATTTTTTCAGGTTCATTTCTGTGCTTTTTAACATAATCAAGGATTTGCTGATCCGACCCGGGACTTGGCGGAGACACTCGTTTTGGCGTTGTCGTGTTGACATTTAGCCTCATCGTTGCATCTTGATTTCCTAATTGAAAAACTGATTTTCTCTTCTTTGCTAAAATTTGCGCTTTTCCAGAAGCAAGCAACGTTTCCGCATCAACCGAGTCTGCAACATTATGAGTGAACACCTTCCCGTTCTCACGCTTTATAAAGACTTGCGGTGCGCAGTTGTTCGTTGTTGTTTTCAAATTCAGGCCTTCCATATAGTCGAGTAAATCCGCATCTCTCTTTGTCAGTCTCTCAAAAAGGTATACAGGTTTTTTATTGATCTGATTGAGATAATATCGTAAAAAATGCTTCCTTGCCCAGATACGGTCTTTGACATCAAAATAGACAAATTTCACAATAATGGCTGGGGGGGGTTTTGATGTCGCGAATTGGGCCTAGAGGGTGACACGCTACCATGGAATCACGAGGCACATAGATGTCAATTGCTTCACGAAAGAATGCGATTACATCTTCTACATAATCAGAGCCATGTCGCAGAGGTAAATTGTTTATAATGATACAATCTTTTGAGGAATAGCGCTCCAGATCATTTACTTTTTTCTTCAGAAAAATTAATTCATTTTTCATGTTTGCAATGGTGCCGCTTTGAGTTTCAACATGGGATAAAAGATCTTGCAGAATTGATTTCAAAGATGGATCAATATCATTCGACAGTTGGTTGATATTTTCTTTGATAATGTTCAACATCATGACAGCTCCCAGTAAGGTGTAAGAATTATCTCAGTGTACAGTCCAAATCTGAAACTATTTAATAAGTTTATCACAACAATTGTGTCCAATATTCAAAATGAAATTGCAGCGTTATAAGAAAAACAACAGACAAATTGTACCATTTGTTACTGGAAGCAGTTTTATGGTAGCCTAAGTCGCAGTCGTTATTCCTTCCAGACCAGCGGTACCTTGAAATCCGTGGAATATACTCATTTTATGTGAAATTGATAGTTGGGGATGACAATGACAAATAAAACTGTATAAATAATGTGGCACAGAATGTGTCAACTATCGAGTTTTTTAGAGCAAACTATAAAATCGAACTATTTCTAATTTGAAAACATTAAGCTTGTGAAAGGAGACTGAATAAGGTCATGAGTCATGAGAAACAGTTATTAATAGATTAAGTATTTTAAAAATCCCAGAAGAGTTAGATTGAAATTCAGTCTTTAATTTCGACTCCAAAAATCCGAATCAAAATTCAAAATCCAAATCAAAATTTCTGCAACAAATTGCCGACAATGCGACAACTTTTATGATTTTTGATTTTCATAATCTGAGTCACGGCTGAACAGGTTTTAATATGATACCACCCTTGACATCCTTCGAGTTTCTTGTTCACAGATTTCAGGACGTGAGATTTTTCTTACGTGAGCATCCGTTAAAGTGCATGAAAACTCAAAATTAATTACCTATCGTATTTTTATTCTGTCAGGCGCATTTTTCATGGAAGTTATTAACGCTTGAGATAATGTAATTTTCATTTTATTTTCGCCGCTTTAAATTAATCTCCGGGTTATGTCATACCGGCACACTCGCCGCGGCATTTAAGGGTAAAAATTGTTTTGTGTGCTTGTGTGTCAGGAGAACTCTGTAGCTTTATATTAGAACTTAATAGATTTTAAATATCTGCAAACCTTTTTCATATCACATTTATGAAATCAGCTCAACCGGCGTCTATTTAAGTAACAACGGCTCAGTTGCCGATCGTTTAATTTTTTTTTGAATCCTTATTTAACACTCGATGGTATTTTTTCCTCAAATCTACCATCCTTTGAGTCCAGCATGAAATTATTTTCGTTGGTGTGGTTTTTTGATTTGAAAAAATGGAGTTAATGGTTATCGTTGAATGTTTGTCGGCTGACTGTCATATTATTTTCGTGATTTTCAAGGCAATTGTGCATAATTTTTAAAAGATCTGTCAAAGGCGAAATTTTTTGCACAATATGGCGCTTTTTTTCATGAGGAGTTTTAGTTAAGGTTTAACGCTGCCTGGGTTTCATCAGGTCAATTGCCTTGATGAAGAGCATTTAAATAAAACTTTTCGAAGAGTAATTCGAAATGGAGATTTTTCAGTTTGAGTTGAAATTGAGAAACCAGTGCCACAAGGAACGGTACTGGGTCATTCGTTGTTCAGTTTATCTGTTTATGATATACAAAAATGATATTGTAATGGATGTACTTTTGTATAATATGTTGATGACTGTATGGTATTTGCCTCATTTCTATCTCCGATTGGATTTCTTAACCGACTGCAAAATTCATTAAGAAATAATATATTTTTTCCGAGAACCAGTTGAGTTTGAATGCCTCTAAACTGAAATTGGTCAAAATACTGAAAAACAGAAAGTGGAAAGGAAAAGTTGTAAAAAAACCTAAACCAATTTTTCTCGATTCAAATCTGTCACTCCAATGTCAAAGAAAAATTTGCAAAAAGTAATGGCCTTTGAACTAAAGATCCGATTAGACACATAACTGCCAGCAGTATCTCTGGTTGCATTTTACAACTTAATTTTAGTGCATTCCGATTAGGCAGCAATTTGTTGTTACTGCAAGTTTTTTCACGTTAAGCAAGCACCAGTCTTCTCTTAAGACAAATAGATTGACTGGGCTTTAGCTTATTTTTATCCAAAACTGAATACGTTCCCGCGCTGCGAAAAAACTTGTCATTTAACAGAATTGTACTGAAATGCGGTCACTATTATTGCTGAATTATCTCTGGCTGATTTTTCTGCATACTTTTGGCTGAAATGTCTGAATTTCAAATTGGCTGAATTGTCTTTGGCCGAATCGTCTGGACGCGGTGTGAAATATCATTATCATGTCTTTAAAACAGTTAGAAAGTTTTTGCAAATGCATTGAGGTTACCGGAGCAATCGTACATATTCCTCCAAATCGAAGATAACTGTGAAGAGAATTTTATACCACCCGAATTATAACAGAACTGATCATCAAAACATAATTAAAGAATGTATCTTACTAATTTGTAGCCCATCAAAATACACACATTGTATCCAAAAAAATTATATTTTGCGGGTTTGTAAGAAATACATGTTTTGTACAGGATTAAGTTTTAGAATTAATACATGCCAGGGGATGACATTCTACGGTTGGTAATTTAGACGGGATTGTACGGTTGATCCAGATTACCGATAGCTAATTTTAGAATTATTGATCGAACAAAACAAAAGCTTTGATTACCTTTGTTCAACTGCTTCCCTGCAAAAGTAGATATTTTCTCTTGGCATTTCAAAAAAAGTGCCAATTGTAAATTATTCTTGAAATTCACTGAGTTTTAACCTGATTTAATTTTTTTTATAACTCAAAAGTTCGTTTTCAAAAGTTCTAAATCATTTTTTTTTCGGTTTCCTTGTTCTTTTTGTTTCCTTATGTTGGTTTTTTTTTTCGTTTTATTGTTTGTCGTTAGTTGATGATTTGATCGAACTAGTAATTTCATACCATTTTAATGAACTAATTTCATTAATTTAGCCAATAAATATCTTTCAAATAATTTTCTGTTCTAATATAACTCATGCACGGGTAGTCTATTAATGCAAAGGCTTTTTGTCCAGCAATAAAAATTGTTCTCCATGTTTGTCAATGGATAATTATGGACAACTGAAAATGCTGATTGGTTTTTACTATTCAAGCATGTGTAAATATATAAATATTTATGAAGGTGTGTGATATCCAAGTAAAAAAATCTGCTTTTACTAAACTGATTCTTATTTGAGCTTATTTTTGTCAATTTTAGTGTTTTTGAGCTCCTTTTGCCGCCTGTTGTTTGTGTTTGCGAAGTGCAGCTTCACCTCTGTGGTGATAAGTTCACTTCAGTTTAACTGTGTAACCGCCCTAAAATTCGGCCAGTTAATGGGATTTTTATTGACTTTAGTGACTGGTCCAAGTAAATTTGCTTATTTCAGGAGCTTTACAATGTGTTTCTTGTTCATGGTTCTATCCTCTCTTGACTGAAGTGTTGTTTCTTCGAGTCGCCCAACCAGCCAAAGGGGGAGCAAGCCAGAATAAGAACTTATACGGTTCGTTTTGTTTTACCAACTTTGTTGGCTTTGTGTTAAATATAATTGCAGTAGTAGTTTGCCTGCCTTGCTTGTCAATCGGTTAAGTTTTACCCGTGAGGTCATGATATGATTGACTGTAAATTAACCAGCCGAACGGTTTAGTTGGTTAGCAAACGCTTGTGCTATGTCTAGCTGGTTGATATGATTGATAGCTGTTTAAAACAGCTTGCTTGCTGGTATCATTTTGGAACTTGCTTCATTGTATGCGTAGTTTTAATATTAGTAAAAATACTCACATTTGTCATTTTTTTTCGAAAATTTCTGCTTTGTCCCATATTCGAACAAAAAGCTGAATTAGCTGAATGTTTTGAAAGATCGGCTCTTGGTGTGGTGTTTGAGATATATTTGTAGTGAGCGTTTTTGCCTTTTTGAGTTTCTTTGATAGTATTTCTTGGGTTTAAAGGATTTGTGCAGCCTAGGAGACTTATATCGAGTTAGTTTCCAAGGTGAATATATATCAAGTTTTCAGCGAAGGATTTATTTTTCGCGACTACGCAAGCAGGTATTTGGTTTTTTGTCCATTTCAATTTTTGACTTTTTCCTTCCGGATACTTTATTTCAATTCCATTTATGCGAACTACCGAACATTAACAGAAAAAAATAACGCTTTTCAATTTGGGGCGAGGAAAAATAAAACGGCGCAATATCATTTAGCTCTGACTGTGGTAACAAAACATGGGAAGGAATACCTGCTATAGTAGCGCGTTGCTTAGTCCTTCGAATATTTGCAGATAATACGCCTGCATTTAAGCAAAATGTTCCCTTCTACAATACCATTTCTGGTCTTGGTAATTTTATTTTTTACTTTTTTCGCTTTCTTTCAATTTTGCCTTTTGTAGTTGCATCGGAACACCAGCGGGGACGGAAAAGAAAGAGGATACGTCATTATTCTACCGACCAGTTTTCATTTCATACCATTTATGTGTGCATGGATTGTTATGTGGCTGCAAATGCATGACTGAAGACAATATCTTACATCGACTAAGTTTTACTTCAAATACACCACGCATTAGATTAACAGAAAGCGTGGTTGGCACTAACAGCAGTTAAGCTAAAGTTCAACACTGAGCACCGCCTCGTCCGTGTTTTGCGGGAAAGGGATTCAGCGTATAATAGTAGCAATAATAGCTCACCGACAAGAATAAATGGATAAAAATTGAAAGAAACGGAGCTTGGTCGAAGTAGGAAGGGAACTGTTAGCTGCAACTGGGCTTGTAATTCGTCGAGAATTCTTCGACGGGCTTTTAATTGTAACTCTAAATATACCTTCCTACGTTTCGTCTAATCCTTTTGCTTTAGCTTAAATTTAGTTTTCAATAAGAGTTTATTTGATACCATAAAGAGGCTCTAATGGTTTCCTTGTTTAATATTTAACTCGCTGATTCGCAGCCATTCTAAATAAATTACGCTGCACCGCATAATCCTCATTTTTGAAAGCAGATTTAAAAAATATATAATCGCTATTGTGCGTTTTCTATCTTGCCGTTGTTTTCATTTTTTGCTCCGCCACTTTTTTTATTATTATTTTCCCAAAGGGAACATTTCTCACCTGCGCGTCTGCTGTAGTTTTTTGAGCGATTAATATCTTTCATGCGGATCATTCATCACAGAAATTTTGACACCACATTGAAGCTAAAATATTCAAAACTCTATTTTTTCACATTAGAGCTGCAAATATTTCATCCCTAGCAAAACAATTCAGTTTCTATTTTATTCTTCAGATTTGTAAATAGATTGCGTTGGATTAACTATCAGCGGCTATCTTGCTGACATTTTATTACATGACTAGCAGAAGGGACTTGGGAATTGTGTGAAATAGACGCATTAGTTTTACCCTAGACAGATTACAGTTGTCGGCTGGGAAGTTGCGATGGACGCCACTGCTGTGGAGTCGACTTCTCCACCAACAAACAAGGAACAAGATGCTGCAAGGTAAGAAATCTAGAAACAAATGATATTTGTCGTGAGTTTGAGCGCAGTGAAAATCAGCGATCTTTTCTAAATAAAAATCGAAATATTGAAAAATTTTTGAAATAAATTTCAGCTTTGCTTTCGGAGTTGATTAATTTCAACCAATCAGGTTCAAGAGTTATGATCAAATTTTTAAATTACCAAAAGCATTCAATGTTGGTCAATTTAAACTGAGAAGGTGAAACCAATGTTTTAACGTTTCAATGCTCAGTTGCTTGCTTGAATTTGGTTTAGTTTTCGAAAAGATTCAATCTGAAAACAATTTGAAATATTCAGAAGTGTTTATTGCTTTTCACTTTGCTCAAAAAATGTCAACATTTTTTTTTGCGAATAGATTCATGTTATGAATAAAAGATTGACGTATTTTGAAATTCTATTACTGAAATGCTTGCGTGAAAAAAAAACTTTTAGCGAATAGATCAAAGCAATGAAAACAAGTTTTCTCTTCAACTTCAACAAATGCTCTTTTTTGATTTTTTTTGAACAAGGGTAAATTGTCATATGCTATAGAGATTGTTTTTTCTCTTCGATAACGAACTTGAAACTCTGACATGAATCATGCGTCAAGTTTTTCTCTCGGGTGTCTTTTTTCACTGTAACTCTGTGCGCTCAATCTCCGTTATTTGGTAAAACTATGAAGTCGAATGCTTTGAATTATAAAGAGTATTTATCGGCAAAGACTCTCAGAAAAATCAATATTTTATCATAATTTTGGTCAAGCATAACATCATATAACTTCAATTCTGAACTGTCCGTTTTTGGTACAAAACGGCGCAAGCTAGCCACAAGAACCGGTCGGTAATGTCCTTGAGACAAATTGCTCTTTTTGGCGGTCAACCTTAATCAAGGCTGAACCGAATTAGAACCAAAAAAACAGTAAAAAACGGTCAAATGGGGCTATAGCCCCTCGGGTCTACATGTTTTAAGGTCTGCATATGGGGGGACTCGAACCCGGTTGACCGGCGTGAGAGACTTGTCTCTAGGCCGCTCGGCCAACTGTGCTTATTGTTGTTACATTTTAGTTCAGTTTTATATGCATCTATACTCTACATTCTATACTCTACATTTGCATTGCAACATCCTCCCCCCCTGAAGAAGGAAGAACCGGAGCGAGCTTAACGGTCGGCCGCGTGACTTCACGGGTTGCGGTCCTGACAAGGGCGGATCGGGCGCAACCGTCCTGTCCGTAGTTTAGCTTGACGATTCGGGCGAGAGGGTAGTACCCACGCGGACTATCGGGCTCAATCACCCACACGAGATCGCCTGTTTTAAGAGTAAAGTCAGAATGAGTGTGCCACTTGACACGCTTATTCAGCGAGGGAACATATTCTCGAAGCCAACGAGACCAAATCGCGTTAGCATATGACTGCGCTCGCACGTACCTTTTCTTGTGATCGAAGTGCTCCCCGGGTAAAAGCGAAGGAAAGCTTGTGGCATGTTGTCCAAGCAAAAAATGGTTTGGGGTTAACGCTTCTAACTCACGTGAATCGGTACTAACGGGAGTGATTGGCCTCGAATTCAAAGCCTGTTCAACTAAGCAGAGTGTTGTTCCTAACACCTCTTCAGTTACTCGCCTACTGCCTAGGATATCGTACAGCACGCGCTTCACGCTTTGGACGAGGCGTTCCCAGGAGCCGCCATGATGGGGTGCGCCTGGCGGGTTAAACTTCCAAGTAACACCTTTGTGTGCAAAAATGGTCGGAGCCATGCCATTCCAGCTCTTGATGCAGGCAAGTAATTCCTTTTCCGCACCAACGAAGTTCGTGCCATTATCCGACCAGATTGTGCTTGGCGTACCACGGCGCGCAACGAACCGTTCAATGCCCATGACACACGAACTGGTGTCCAGAGACGGTACAATCTCAAGGTGTACAGCCCTGGTAGTGAGGCAAGTAAAAAGAAATCCCCATCTTTTTTCCGTGCTTCTGCGAACCGGAACGTAAAGCGGTCCAAAGTAATCCACACCCGTATGATTGAAGGGTGGTTGCTTGTATCCGAGACGTTCGACCGGTAAATCGGACATAATTGGCTGGATGGTGCTTGCTTTGCGTTTACGGCATGTCACACATTGATTTTCGACAGACCGAAGTAGTCGACGCAACCCAAGTATTGCAAATTTCATATTTAAAACGGAGCGCATGTAATCTAATCCTTGATGAAAATGCTTATGGTGGAGGCTGCGGGCCAACAAACGAACTAAGGTATGTCGGGCGTCGAGTATTATTGGGTGCTTAGTATCAAACTCGGTATCCACTAAGCGCACAATCCGTCCGGTGGAACGAATGATTCCAGCGGGACCGATAAATGGCGAGTATGTGGCAATTTTACTACTATTCTTAATAGGTTTGCCAGCGGTGAGTGTTTTTAACTCAACGGGAAAGGATTCCATCTGAGCAAGATGAATCAGTTTGCTTTCTGCAATATCAAGTTCAGTGGGGTCGGTGATTCGTAAGTCTTTACCACGAAAATGCTTATGTGAAGGCAACACCCTCAACATAAAAGCGACTACTCGTTTATATCTTGTAAAGGAACTGAACCTTTCCCAATTGAACCCGTGTTCGGGATGTTTGATTGATGTGACATCGGTGACGAAGGAAGATGATGTCTCCAAGCAATTATCAACATCACAAGAAGGACCCTTCAAACGAATTTTATTGATTACACGTTCGTCGGGTAAAAACGGCCAATCAGTAGTCCTGAGAATGCTCGGACCAATAACCCAGCTGCTATCCTTGAGGGCTTCCGAATAAATCCCCCGCGTACCGGTATCAGCTGGATTATCGCCGCTCAGAACATGGTGCCACTCATCAATAGTGGTCGACTCGAGGATTTCGCCGACACGATTAGCGACGAATACAGGTAATTTTTCAGTGGAGTTTAGCCACTGCAAAACTGTTGTACTATCTGTCCACATAAAGACATGATTAATAGAGACGGTAAGGGCGGTCAGTATATCATCTTTTAGTCGTGTGGCGAGCAGAGCAGCTTGAAGCTCTAGCTTCGGTATAGATAGCGCTTTCATGGGCGCAACGCGAGCTTTACCAAAGATGAAGGATATTTGAGTTTTATGCGAGCTCGCGAGTCGCGCACGCAAAAATCCAACAGCACAGAAAACATCCTGCGAGCTATCACCGAACATGTGGAGCTCAATTTGATCAACAGGCTCTGTGAAGTAACAACGGGGAATAGTCAATTGCCCTAAGAGATGGAGACCGGAGTGCCACTCGAGAAACTTATCTCTTATGTCTTCTGGCAATTCGTCGTCCCAACTTTGACCACTGATTTTCCAAATATCTTTCAGTAAAAGACGGGCCCTAACTGTGTATGGAGCTACTAACCCAACAGGGTCAAACACAGAAGAGACGAAACTCAAGACGGTTCGTTGAGTTATTGCTTTATCGAGAGGACGATCCACGCCTCTGCTAACAACCAAAGTGTCTTTCACATGGTCCCACTTAAGGCCTAAGACGTGTGAAGATTGTTCGGCACCGTTACAAATTTCCTTAATGGGTGAAGATGAGGATTCGGATTCCTCGGGGTTCATTGCTGAAGTGATTTCATCAGCATTACTGACAAATTTAGTCAAATTAAATCCTCCCAATTTTAGTAAGGAAACCAAATCGCGACTAGTTTTAATTGCTTGGGTAACGTTCTCGAATGAATCCAAGTAATCGTCCATGTAAAATTTTTCATTTACGACTGAGGCGGCCTCAGGGTATGTGGACATATTATCAGTTGCTGTTTTTTGCAACGCGAAATTGGCGCACGTAGGCGAATCCCGTGCGCCGAATATATGGCGAGTGTACTGATGAACTACCACATCGGAAGTGGTATCCTCCCGCCACAAAAAACGGAGCGAAATTTGATCGCGGGCAAGGACTCCTACCTGGAGGAACATACCCTCTATATCCGCGGAAACGGCGTACTTATGTTGACGGAATCGCAAAAGCACAAAAATTAAATTTTGGAGTAGGTCAGGACCCACCAATAAGGACTTATTTAAGGATGTGCCGTGAAACTTAGAAGCCCCATTAAGGACTCGGCGCACCTTACCCGGCTTATTCGGATTTACGACGGGATGGTGCGGAAGATACCACTCGCGATCGGAACGCTTACGTGGATCATGCGGTTCGACGGTAACGACATAGCCTTTCCTAATGTCCTCTCTAATTGTTTCTGCGTATCTTTCGCGCAGCTCAGGGTCTTTACTTAACCTTCTCTCCAATGATTTAAATGGGGCAAGTGACGAGTAATAATTATTTGGTAGACTGACATTACTATCAATCCAAAGCATAGGCACAACGTATCTTTCGCCATTGTGAACGGTTTCAGAATTTAGGATGGATAAAGCATGTTTATCCGCGGCGGAACGGGCATCGACCTGTTTGAAAGCACCATACGATTCCAACTCGTACCAGGATTTTATCTGGTCGGTCAGAGAAGAATCTTCAACAACACACTTGAAACACGAAGAAGTAGAATTACCGGACGGCGGCAACGGACCACTTAAGACCCAACCTATCGGTAGGCGAACGGAACACGGTGAGTTTTTATCATCTCCCAAGATGAACTCAATGGGTCTAACGGCGTGGTAGTAGTCTTGTCCGATAATAACTTCAACGTCCTCATAAGTATATTGAATGGGCTTAATAGGTGCTAATTGTGGATATTTATTCTGCAAATCAGCAATATTGATTAATTCGGAACCAATCCGAATATTGTCTTTAACATATGCACAGAGAGAAAATACGAAATCACTATTATTCGGCTCGGAGGAAACAGTAAACTTGACCCTCTGAGTCTCAACAACGGTGGTCGAATTGAAACCACTAATTGACAAGTTAACGGGCTCCCCTACTAAGCCGAGACGGTTTACGAGTGACGAAGACACCCAGGAGTGAGTCGATGCACTATCACAAAGAACCAACGTCAGGAGGCTGGTTACATCCGAGGATACACCA